TTTTCCCAGACTTTTCCCCCGTTGTTTTCCTGAGAAGTCACATTGTACTGAAGCAAAAAAGCAGAGCAAAAGGTAATGTGTATATTGCCTCTTGTTTTGGTTTCTGTTTCAATCGTTTTATTGTTTCATTGTTTTCTGTTCTCGGTTTCTTTGTATCTCGTTTTACCGCAAACTGCTTGCTGGAATAGAAACAGTTTCCACGAAACATTGATGAAAAAGCTTCTTTTGATGGTGCCTTCATGTAGCTGCCCTTGGTCTTTTAAGGTCAGACAGAGGGCAGAAGAAGCTGGCAGCTGCCAGGGCCGGACACACAAACACACGATGGAGCCCCCATCGTCATCACCGCCACTGTTTTGGCCTTCATTTCTTTTTCTTTGCAGAGCTATGAGGAGAAGGAGCTGCTGCGCCTGGTCTACTTTGGAGGAGTACAGCATGAGATCCGCAAAGCTGTCTGGCCTTTCCTCCTGGGCCATTACCGGTTGGAGATGTCAGAAGCAGAGAGGAGAGAGGTGAGTATTACTTTAAAAGAGAGAGAGAGAGAGAGAGAACAGAGCTGTAGCAACAGGGCAGCTGAAGAATTAAAACTTTTACGAGGCTTGGGAGGAGATGAGGTGGAAGAAATCATGGGAAAGCAATCAGTTAATAAGAAATAATGCAGCTTGTGGACAACACGTACCCCCTCTCCCAGGACATCTGATTTCGTGATGCCCCAAGGTTCTCCAGACTGAAGAATAAACCCATCAAAAATTGAGCATCACCTTTCCTAGAAGTTGCCAGGTCTAGCAATACCCACTTTAAAAAGAGGTTGCCCCTTCCTAACGCCCCCCACTCCCCCGCCTCAGGATCCTTTCCAGGTTAGTTTGGGTGGGGAGGTGTGGCTCACGGTGGGTCCAGGGGCTCCCAGGGCTTGGCTGTGGACTTTTGTGGCTCAGGTGACGTTCATCCGACCCTGTTCTCCCATGGAGAAGGGGCCCGCCGTGTGGCTGCTTTCTCCTACTTTTCTCTCGGCCATGTAGGTTGACAGCCAGACCCGCACCTGCTACGAGCAGACCATGGCAGAATGGCTGGGCTGTGAGGCGATCGTCCGGCAGCGGGAGAAGGAGTCGCACGCCGCTGCCCTGGCCAAGTGCTCCTCGGGAGCCAGCTTGGACTCCCATATGGAGCGCATGATGCACCGGGACTCGACCCTCAGCAGTGAGGTGAGCCGTGTGCCTGCTGGGCGAGGGGATCCAGGAGGAGGGAGGCCCCTGGGATTCACTCCGAACGAGCAGGAGACGAGCGCCTGGACGGGACACGAGGCAAAGGGCAGCGCAGAGCTGGGCTGGCTCTGCTTCTCCTCATGCCAGCTGGCCTTCGTCGCACATTCAACTGTGTTTAGCTTATAAGTGGTCACCTGGAGAGAAACATACCTCCATGTGAGATAAACATGTCTCCATCCTCAGGCCCATCACTTTGAAAGATTTGCATGTCTGTAAGGAAAGCACTCAAGGTGCGTGAGGATGACCCTTACTTCCGTGTAACAGGATTCCCCACCCCCATTTGTTTGTTTGTTTGTTTGTTTGTTTGTTTGTTTATTTATTTATTTATTTATTTATTTATTTATTTATTTATCTTGAGTCTGATAAAATCACATTTTGAAGGGATGTGAGGAATGGGAACAAGTTCCTTTTATTAATGTAAAGATTATTGTTTACTTAGGAGATACTAAGGATGGAAGTATTTCTAGTGGGAATCTGGCTAGCGTCTGGCCATTCTAAGAGTTCTTTTTTAAAGGTAGCTAAAAAGTTATGAGTGAAGCCTTGGAATGTTGTTATCAATGCCATAATGAAGAATGACACAACGAGTTCCTTCCTACAGGCCATAGTGCACTACAGTTTGAGAGTAACTTTCCAGCCTGCTGGAGCGGCCCTAGCTGGGGCGGCTCATCTCCCCTGCCTCCCTCCCTCCGTCTCTGTCCCTCTTTCTTCTCTTCCCAGTCTTCCCAGAGTGGGAGTTCCGGCCCCCAGAGCCTGACCCGGCTGCACAGCGACTCCAGCGGGAGTGCCCAGGTAAGGGCCGGCCCTGGGCTCCTCGGGGTCTCCCAGGGCGGACTCCAGGCTCTGAGCCCCGAGGCCTTCCCTCTTCGCTCCTCAGGCACCCGTTCCGGGTTGGACCAGAACGGCCCGACCCATCTTGGCTCCTTGTGTCTGCCTGACCAGGTGTTTGAGTCTGTTGAAGAACTAGAAGAGCCAGAAGTGGGACCCAAGCCGGAGGAGGGCAAACCGGACGACGTCTCCAACGGGACTGTCCCTGGCAGGGGGGCGCGCGGCTCACCAGACTCCAGCCACCCTTCCTCCCGGAACCTCTCCATTCTTTTGGCCTCCTCGGAGCGCGGCTTCGGCAGCAGCACGGAGGAGGACGGTGCTGCCGAGGCTGGGGAGGCCGGGGGCCCCCACCACTCTGCCCCCATGAGGATGGAGGCCGGCCAGGAGACCCTCACCCTGCAAAGCCTCCTGGCGGATGGGAAGAGCACGAGAGACAAAGGGCTGCAAGGCCAGGACAGTTTGAACGAGGACCTCCCCCTGGCGGAGGGCAAGCTGGACGAGTTTTTTCTGATGGGCGAGAAGCTTCCTGATCCAGAGAGGGGGGTGCCTCTTCGGACAGGGGACCGGACGGAGAGCTGGGTGGGCCACGGCACGGAGCCGGCCAACTCCCTGGAGAGCGACGAGGAGGACGACCTGTCGGAGGAGCCAGAGATGGAAACCCTCTACCCGCCGCAGCCGGATGCTCGCCCCTTGGCCGTCACCGACTTGACCCTGAGCGCCATCTCCCCTGTCTCTTCCTCAGGGGTCACCTATCCTGTGAGTTGGGAGGGGTGGCCGGCAGGGTGGGGGTGGGGGTTGCCATGGAGGAGGGGCTTGGCGAAGCTAAG